ATGTCACAAGTTGCTTTGATTCTTGACTTTTTAGATTTATACAGATTTCTTAAGTCTTAACATTGTAAAACCCAGAATCGCCTGGTCTTTTGACATCATCAAATAATGTGTGATGTTGCTTTGTGTGCTACTACTAACAGTTGGCATTCGGCACAATGAAGAAATTCAGATTCTAAATGACAAACTTGAAAACAATCTCCTTCTGACAGAAGACTACCTGTGGACCTGGGGGCCTTGTCTCCTTTCATTGCGTCTGCTCTACAAAAGATCTGGGTTTTTATTCAAGGCGCTTTCACAGGATACCCCAATTTCAGCTTTGGCAGACTGTGTATACTTGGCTTGTGCCCATAGGCAGTGAGAGGTGCCTCACGGGAGAAGCAAGATGACTCCCAGCAGCAGCAGGAGGACGTGTGGGGACGATCACTAGTGTTGAAATGAACTAGGGTAGAGCAGCATGTCTGTGATGGCACTGAGGGCTAGCAACTAAACAATTCTTGTGCAGAAATCTACAGTGCTCATCAGATCCTTAGTGTAAAGGAAAATACAATTTAGAGCGAGAGGAGGAGGAGGAGGAGGGGCAGAGATAGATAGGACAATATTAAAAATATTCTTCCAGCACAAAGACATTTAATCCTTTGTCAGAGCTGTTCAGTTTGTTTGAAAAATTGGCATAGGGCCTGGGGGTTGAAGGGGAGTGGAGAGAAAGAAGCTGGTCCTTTTTTTTTTTTAACCCAAGGGCTCAATCTTCTAATCTTGCCTTACATTCACACCATCATTATGTGTCTGTTCTGACCAATTTATCAAGCTTATTTTTATGGGGTGTGCTTGGTTTGTGCTGCCTGACTTCTGGCTTATAGGCTTTTTAAAATCTCTATGCACAGTAATTTGCACCCAGTGCTGAATACATCCTACTTTTTATCAATTCTGGGGGAGTCAGGTATCTAAGTCATCTCTCCCCTTGAGGTGCTGATCGTCGGTTCTCATACGCTAAAGAATTTGGACATTTTAGTCATTTTGATTTGTGTCCTCTCAAATTCTCTTTTTGTGCTTGCTTTTTTGTTGGTTTTGTTTTTGAAATTCTCTGTGGCCTTTGGCCTTACAGAAACCAGTTATTGGGAAAGTCCTCTGCAAATACTAATTCAAAATGCATGATACCTTTATATTGGTCTCATTTTAAATACCTGGTCCTGGGGGAAGAGCTCAACATGAGCCACACAATTAGACATGTGAGAATCTATAAAGCCACAATTACATTTCAAGTTGAAACATATTAAATTGATAATACTGAGTCTTAGATTCTCCTGAATAGACTTGGGAAATTCTACATCAGCCTAAAGCTTAATATGACAAAGGATCAGAACTTGATTCTTCCAGGAAACACAGTAAAAACAAACATTATTTTATCATAGCACTTTAAGACACTTAATGTACATGTTTAGAAATTTTATTTGAAATTAATTGAAGGCCAGCTAAGTAGAAAACCCTTAATAAGAGTAAAGTAGAAACAATCCTTATATATATATATTTTTTCGTTTTCAATACAGAGTCTCACTACACAGCCCAGACTCTCCCTGGTGATCCTCCTGTCTCAGCTGCCTCAGCACTGGGATTACAGGCCCAGTCTTGGTGACCAGCTCAGTGCACCCCAGGGCGGGGCTGGTGTGGCATGTGGTGCCAGGACAATCCTTCCTTGTTTACAACTCCCTTCTTTCGTTCTTACTTTCCTCCCTCTCCCCATTTGTTTCAGTGTTATATAATTTCTTGCTGTGTGTATTTCTATGTAAATTTTAAATTAACATACAGCTTATTAGTGTAGTAGTGTGTTCTGCTTCATTGTCTCTTTCCTTAAGGTCTGTGTTCTTTGTTTATTTATTTATTTTTTTAAAATTTTATTTGTGTGTGGGGGGGGGCCAGCTCAGCCCACCTGGGGGCGGGGCTGGCTGGCATGTGGTGCTGGGGGATTGAACCGCGGTCCTGTGCTTTGCTTAGCTTGCTCTAAGTAGGTGCTTTAGACCACTGAGCCATCTCACCAGCCCCAAGGTCTGTGTTCTTTGGTCTTTATGTTATCATTGCTTCTCAGCACTGCACAGTACTTGATAGTAGGCAGCATATTGAATTGCTCCCCAAACAGTAGTTATTATATGTCGTATTTTGATTCAATGACTATGAACACTATCTCAGGAGTTAAAAAGATAGCATTACATTTTAACTTTAAAGTCATGTGTCAACAGAGTGTTTCAGTTCTGCACTGGAAAATTTTACTGCATGTAAGCAGCCCATAAAACTAAAATAGGGATTTGGGGTGGACAGAGATCCACCAAAGAAATATTTAATCCACATGCTTACGTCTGGGGGAAACAGCATCTATTCAGAACTATTTCAAAGAATGCTATAACTACCCTGATGATCCCATACAAAAGTTAGAACATGGCACTATAACTTGATGGCCCTGGGACATTGTTCCAGCTGCCAACCAAGCAAACCTCACTGCCAAACCAGTATGGTATGTTCACTCAGATTATCGGACCTCTTATGCTTAGTGCTTCTTGGATTCCAGAGCTCTGATGACTGAGTCCCTGAATTCCCCATGACATTACTTGCATTGTTCCTGCCTAGAGCCTTACCTGATGTGGCATCCGCAGGGGTGAGGGATAGGTATCCCACCAGAGTTCAGATGCTTGTGCCTTCATTTCTTCACTTGGTGGCCTTGAGTATGGTGCCCAAGTCCTCTCTTCCTTTTAAATTGCCTGCTCTGTGGAATAGGTGCAGGACCGCAGGGGTGCCTCGGCTATGGGTGTGTGGTGTGAGTGTGGATGGCTGATACCTGTGGAATTCTCAGAAGCATGGGCAGCATGTGACAGGGACTTGTTAGATGTTATTTGACGACTGCATTTTTTTGTTTTTCTTTTCTCTGTCATTCCATCAGCAACGTACAAATTGCAGCTCCTTTTCTCTTTCCTGCTACCTGGCCACCTGCTCCACACCCCTGCCTTCCACCTGCCTGTGTAGTCCTGCCTGTTCCTGCTCTTTCCCTATGGCAGTGCCCTGGAAACTCCTCTGTGCCATTCCCTGCTCACGTGCAGGTGGCACCCGGGCCCCACACATTGTCAATTATGCGGCCACCTGCCGTGAGACACCTGTGCGTTTGTCTTCCAAAGTACTTTAGGCTCTGGGGAGCAGTGACCTTTCTTCTTTTGTCCCAAGAGCAGTGACTCTCACTAGAATCAATGACAGGAATGGTGCTTTTCCTAAACCACTGGTTTTACGTTGACCCCAGAGGCACCAGTATCTGCTTGCATTTGTTTCCCTGTCTGCAGTGACTGCTGGGAAGCTCGGGGTCAAGCCGGTGGTTGACATCTGTCTGGGCACTGTGCTTCATGACGCCATGTATGTACACATCGTCCCCTAGCTTCATATTATTTATTTTTCTCACATTTATTTTCCCACACAATCTTGCTCTCTGCTCTTTTGAAACCCTGCTGTATTTATTTTGCAATCATATTAAATCTTTTTGGGAATGAAGTGCAGCATAAATAGTGCAGGTTTTAGTTTGAGGCAGCGTGGGAAGGGACCACCCTCCGCACCTCTCATTCTCCACCCTGACTACCTGGTGGGGGAGTTTTGCTATTTAAATGAGATAATGTGGGTGAAGGTCTAAAGAGTTCCTAGGATCTAGACACTATCCCGTGAACATTACGTCCATCTTGTATCTTCCGGTGTAGCTTTAAGAATTAGCCTATATGGGGGTGGGGGGAGTGGCTCAGTGACAGAGCACTTGACTGGCATGAGGCTGAGACTCT